TTATTTAGTTCAATATAGATGTAACATCATGAATATATTTGGTGATATGTTTTGTGTGAAATTTGATCCCATATTGTCGAAAATGTCCCAAGCATTCATGATCCTATCTTATTCAGTTCAGTATAGATCTATCATCATGAATATATTTGGTGATATATTTTATGTGAAATCTGAGCTCAGATTGTCAAACATTTCCCACAACATCCATGATCCTAACAACAAGTTGTAGCGATGCACCAACACTTCATAAATCTTTTAAACCCACATGCTTGAAATTCTTTAGGGTTAAAGAGAAACTGTGTCAGGGGAATACATTGCGATACCAGTTGAAAGAAAGAATCTGTTGTACAGGGGCAGGTATAATCAGATACCTGTATGACTGGAGTGGAGGTCAGCCACACTGATAGTCTCAAAGGAGAAGGTTGTTTGTGTGGTGTAGACTGACCTGCCCTTCCTGGCTAATATTTTCGAGGTGTTCTGCCTTCATTAACACTGATAAGGTTATATGTGAAGGATCAAAACCCGACTCGAGGTTTTGTTTAAAAAAAATAAGCCAGCTGCGAGAGGGTAATTGCAGAGGGCCGACAGGCCAAAACCGAGGAGGAGGTTTTGATCAAACTTAACAACCGACCAAAGATAGACTTTTGATATAATTTTTATATTTGGTATTTACTGTTGAAATCAACTGGGATGCGACTAGCAGCCGATACCTTGTTTTGCACACGCAGTCACATGTTTTGCATGTGCTACCCGTGTCCTGCATGCGTTGCCTGCACTACCCGTCTTGTGAGGAACACATGGTTCATACTGACAATCTCATACTTCACAGCGATCCTTCAGTAGCCTAGTGGATAAAACCACCAAGCTAGAGAGCGAAGGGTTCTAGCGGGTTTGAAACCGGGGAATCAGCACAATATATTAGAAGTTTTCAATAATGTGATATTTCACGATCGTATTCATTCATAGCAAGACAAAGTTTATAATAATCAATCCTCAAAACAAGTAAAATAATTCCAAGTCAGTATCTTGAAATAGCCACTAGCCCGCTAGCCCGTGGCTAATAAAATTCCAGTCGGGAAAGTAAATCTCCAGTCCCTGGCCCAACTGGCTAGTGAATTTTCATGGAGTCGTTTTGTAAATATATCACTCCCTCAAACTTGTTAATTAAAAACACACTTTTAAATCATGAAAGATGATGGCCTGATAAAACTGTTCATCATATTAGCAGCTAATTGATGAAACCCATGTCCACATTCAAATTTCGGGCAAGCGAATTATTTTGTGGGCTAGCAACTTTCAGGCATAGCTAGCCCGACTGGCTAGCAAAATTTGGAAATTATTTCGCACACTGTTCCAAGTCAAGGGTTATTCTTCAGAAAATCCCCGAGCTGTAGGCAATTCTATAGAAAATCCCCAGAATTTTTATAGAATGTCCGCGAAACTGCCTGTAGAGGTTTACTTACTCAGGTAAAAAGGTGAACCTGGTGAGACAATAGAGTGATGTCACTGCAGGTTTATAAGCTTGGTTCTCTCTTGGTCAAGGGGACTTGGGGACTGGGGCCCTGTTTTTAGCAAGTATATGATCATAAATTACAACAGTCGTAGTGGTGTGATGTAATTGCTTTGTGGGATGAGACCCCAAAAAGTGAGTGAGTGAGTTAGTATGGTTTAACAATATCATGGCAGGCGGATTGTAACCATTGGGTTGCACACATTTAAAGTGCCAGTGTGGGGAATCGTACCTGGGTAGACATGATCAGTGACCACAAGGCTCACCATGATAACCCCTATGATCTCGTTACTAGTTGTAGTCGAAAATGTGAATACAGAATGCCATCGAGAAAATGGTCAAATGTAACATGTTTGCAGATTCTAGTACTTTTGGGGGACTGACTCTGGGATGCTATCTAAATATATATGTTGACCAGAAAAATACATGACAAAAATGTCAAGATAGGAAATTGCCTTCTACAAATATTACTGGTACATTGTGGCAAGTTGTTTTTAATATATTTTGGCTTAAGCTAAAAGTTTTGATTAAAATAATATCCAGTATTCACCTGTAACCATGCTTACTGGCGAGCTGATTATAAATCAATTCATCCATTCTCCATATAATTTCCTACTCTCGAATGCACACGATTTTCCAGTTGGCACAGTCCCTAATTGATCACAAGAATCATCACTGTTAATGACTGTAACCATTGGTGGGGAAACCACTATTGCGATAGCAATAGTCTATTGCAACCAACTATTGCAATTGGGTTTTTTCTCCTTAAATTGTCTGACATTTGAAGTCATTTCTACAAGCAACATGTTTCCTTTCCACAATCCCAGTTTCTTTGAGCTTCAAAAACCCAAAATGTCTCCACACTATGGATCTTCCAGCATTGTTATTCACAATTTCAAACTCAAATTTCAATTGCTGCCATGTTTGTTTAAGAAGGAACAGGGGTGGATAACTCTAAATCAAAGTGAACGAATCTGGTACTTCCTGTATTTTGCACTGCACATTTATCAACAGAGGTCAAATACTAAACTATCGATAGTCACACATACTATCGATGCATTGATAGTTTTTTGTTTCTACCATCGATTAATTGCTATTGGAGACTCAACAATTGCAATCCATCGATAGTTCGATGCATCGTTACAGCCCTAGTAACTAGGAATGTCACATTCAATACGTAAGTTTCATGAATCAATACATTATCCGCGATACCCATGTCACGATTCAATACGTATCACGATACCTATTTTCGCGGCATTATTGTGTAAATAGAGAATACAACACGAGGTCTCATTACATACAAATTATACGAAACGAGTGTCCTTCCTATGGTATCTGACTGAGTGAAAGCGAGGTCAGATACCATAGGAAGGTCACAAGTTTCGTAAAATTCGTATGTTATGAGACCGAGTGTGTCATTTTATTTATTACCCACGTCTTACATGCATTAAATTGATAAAATAGCGTTTTTGTTATTTTTATGGTTTCAAACCCGAAACCGGTTTCATAAAGAGGAGGTTAGCGGAAGAGTTTTGTACTGTAGTACAATATTTGCATGGCGTCACACTGTAATGGCGTCACTGCCTTGGTAACCGGCGTCCACGATGCATGTCAGTTGCCATCGCCTCATTACAGCCTCCTACAGTAAACTACTACGTAGCACCCGTTTCTTGGTTTGCAGTTGCTTCATTAGGCTAAGATCACTGATGGAAAACGTTATGTTTTTCGACAGATATAATGTCTCAGACTCACAATTAAACAGCGACGACAAAGCGTTAAGCAATGTTTACATTCCACAATGCATTTAAGTTGTAGAATGAATGTGAATTCGCGTGTTTGTTATGAATGAAAAATAGTTACGTCAGAATTTGACCTATTTGAGAGGTCAATCGGTTATCAATCAAATCGTTAGAATCTCAGGTCAAGTCGTTCACGACACAGGTCAGCAGCGATCACGACACTCATGTGACGTCACGAGATTAGTATACTGTAAAGCGTGCATGAAAAATAATCTTATTTTGGCGTGGTGCAATTTGTAAGCGGAATTGACAGTTTAGACTACATCGCGCGGTCAATTATTGGCGCAATCAGTAATTGCGGAACTGCCAGCTGTCTCTTTGGCGCCACTAATAGCAGTGAAAACAAACAGAGTGGCTTAACCTGTCAGGTGGCGTTTATTGCTTACTCACAGGAAATCCCTATCTGTGCGATATACTGAGTACACAGTAATCCGTTTACTCCACGGAAGAGATGAAAAACACATCAGTCTTATGTTCGAATTCTGGCGATCTGGCGAATTAACTTCTACTGTATATGAAGCTTCTTGTGATTTCAAACAAGCGGGTTGTTGTGAATGAGATGATTGAGTGTTAAGTGACTATTAAGCTTCATGATGTACTGGTAAATAAAATCTTAATGAATAAATAAAATACTGCTGTATTATTTCTTTCGAGTCGTTTCATGGTAATCTGTTTTGTATCAAACCATCTGTCATGTGACCAATTTCCATGGCGGCCACAACACACATTGCTGTTTTAAGCTAATTCGGTGATGGGATTTGGCTCATTATTTAATTATGTTTTGGGAAATCCATTACAGCGACAGTTAAGTATGATTCTTTATGCTACTATCAGTCGTCATTTTAAGATTCCGTAGATTTCTGTCTTCAAACTTGATGTGTTATGGTAACAACTCAGAGGCGTGGCTAGACTGAATGAATGACAGGTTTATTAAAGCGGTGTATAAATTAAACCTGCTAAAATGTTTTTCAGTATTGATACAGTTTTGAATGAAAATAAAATATCGTCTAAGAAATATAACCACAACCATATGACCACCATGAAACCAGGCATGATGGGCTGACATGATGAACATGAACGACACCGACTGCTCCATGCCAGGCATGATGGTAAGTCCTGATGGATCTTGACCGCCTCCGTGGTGTAGTGGTAAGAGCGTCCGCCCGGAGTGCGGAAGGTTGCGGGTTCGATCCCCGACTGCATCATACCAAAAGACGTTAAAATATGGTACTTGTTGGTCCCTGCCTGGCGCTCGGCATTAATGGGTGCATCAAGGACTGGCCGGCTCGGAGTCAGTATAATGTGTCTGAGTGGGGTATTCATGCTTCACTGCGGCATGGTATCTCAGTGGGCTAGCACTATAAAACCAGCTTCAGTCTGGTCTAGTACAAGCAGCTGCACATACACATACACACGCATGCACATCGTCATATGAGCGAAATATTCACAAGAACGACGTTAAACCCCATTTCACCTCACCTCACCTCACAGACACTTAGTATTTCTGTTGTTAACACTATATTCAGCAAATTCCAGCTTTATGATGTCAGTCTGTTAATGGAGTTTGGACCACACAATCTTGTGACTGACATGAGAATCAGTAATACAATTGTTTCGTGATAGGTATTCAGTAATATTTCAGCTTTATAACGGCAGGACCTGGGTTTGAGTCCACACATGGGTACAATGTGTCAAGCCCTTTTTGGTGTCCCCTGCCATGATATTGCTGGAATATTGCTAAAAGTGGCGTAAAATTAAACTCACTAACTCACTGCAGTCGACAAACTCTTATATACTCAACAACATCTTGACTCTCCACCCTGTTGCAAACAACCTAACCTTCCATCGGTTTTATCATCCATGTAACTAGCAAACAACAGCATCTGACAAAGTGAATATGTTTGTTTGTTGTTCAACCCTTCATTCAGCAATATTCCAACTATATGGCAGGGGTCTGTAAATAATCAAGTCTGGACCAAACAATCCAGTGACATCAAGTGTGAACCAAACAATCCAGTGACATCGTTCATGTCAGTCATGTCCACTGGATTGTTTGGTCCAGACTCAATTATTTTTTAAACCAACCATATAACAAACATCAGTTTGGCAGGATATGTGCTTTAAAACAAACTCAATTTGTTTCATATGTTCTATGAGTTTAAGATGTTTTATGAATATGCAAACATACTGCTGTCAACACAATTTAGATAACAGCTTGGTTGATTATCATGGCCAACAGCACTGAGTCATGTACTCGTTAGCTGCCTGTCATTTAGTTAGAGAATGCCTGGTATGCTTGTGGCGGTAGGCAAGGTATTCAGGATGAGGTGCAGGATACTACTGGCTGAACATGCACTTCAGGTAATATACACTGCAGTTTGACCATGGTTCGCCTTGGGTGAAGTATTGGTTTTGTGGGTCTACACTTGATCTTGGGACAGCGGTGGTTGGCTGTTCAGCGCCAGTTGCTGCAATGCCATTGCTGTAATACCAGAAAGGTATTTATAGGATCTGAAATAAAGTGTTGTGGACCCACTAATGGACCCCTTTGTCCTAATTTAATAAGTGATTCGGTATGGTTTTGTGTCACTTTTAGCAATATTCCATCAAAATGATGTAGTGGTCCACAAATGGGCTTCACAGATTGCATGCATGTGGGAATCGAACCTGGGTCTTAGGCGTGATGAGTGAATACTTTTACAACTAGGTTACCCCACTGCCTTCTGAATCTAATAAGCCAGGGTTACATTCATGGGAAATTAGGGTACCCACCAGACTACCTGGCTCTGTGGTAATATGGGCGGTGAGATAGCCCAGTGGCTAAAGCTTTTGCTCTTCTCGTCAAAGACCTGGGTTTCATTCCCCACATGGGTACAGCAGGAGCGGATCCAGAGGGAGGGTGCAACTCCCGCACACACACACACACCCTTCGCTTCTCCCCTGATAAATTTTCCCCAGAGTAGCATTTCCCCCTGGCTGTTGGGTTTCATGATTTATCTGGGCTGTTGGGTATCATGATTTATCTGGGCTGATGAGTTTCATGATTTATCTGGGCTGTTGGGTATCATGATTTATCTGGGCTGTTGGGTTTCATGATTTATCTGGGCTGATGAGTTTCATGATTTATCTGGGCTGATGAGTTTCATGATTTATCTGGGCTTTTGGGTTTCATGATTTATCTGGGTGGACAGTGTGAAAAGCCTGGTCCACAGGTTGGGATAGATAAAAGATATATATTTTTCTTTCTCTTCTATTTCAGATGTATTTCCACACAGGAACATGTGAATATGTGTTGTTTGAGAAGATTATTATAAGCAATGCTGGACGTAAGTATAACCAAGAGATATGAGGGAAAAGGGAAAGAAAAGAACATGGCCGAGTTGTCTGAAACACTACAGTGCTCATGCTGTTGATCACTGGATTGTCTGGTCCAGACTCGATTATTTACAGACCGCCGGTATATAGCTGGAATATTGCTGAGTGCGGCGTAAAACAACAAGCCAATCAACCAAGACTTGTGAGAATGTAACTCCCTGTTGTAATTGTTGCCCCAACTATCTGTGTATTGTGTGTAGTGTATCAGGACAGGTATGATATGTAAGGAATATCATAAACAAAGCAACACTATAAACACACCTGCTTCAGCCAAATATTGACCTTCAATTGTCTCTTCATGTCCGCATTGTCTGTCCGACACCACAGCATATCAATACATTAGGCTTTAACATGGTACAGGGAGTCAGTTGGTAATCCACTGTTAACATACAACACTTATAAACATTGTATTTACTCTCCCAGTTCTGTTTTGTGAGGGACAGTACAGGGAGTCAGTTGGGACTGCATTGTTAACATACAACACTGATACACATTGTATTTAATCTCCGATTCTGTTTTGTCAGAGATGGGCGGAGCTTGTGTTGTGATATTTTTCCTGGCCATGCTGTACGAGGGGCTGAAGTGTCTCCGAGAGTACCTCATCCAGAAAAACCATGTCGGGACCAAGTACTACAACACAACTCTCCCAGCTGGATCATCGAAAGAAAACATGGTCATGGAATCGAAGGAAACGGTCCAGTAAGTACCAACTGTAACTGTCTTATGGGTATCGATATAAACATGAAGTACCAACAGTGGAGGGAGATGTATGGGAGTTACCGTCACCACAGGAGGCCCTGGTGCACAGGACTCTCGGGAGATGTGAACTTTACTGACAGAAATTAACAGTAATATCCTGTTACCATGGTTATGACAATGGTAACAGAATATTGCTGTTAGTAACCATGGTAACAATAATGATGACAGTGTTATCCCTAACTATACAAAGACAAAGTAAATGGAAATGGTGATGTTTGGGAGCTATCCCCAGCAACCTCTGCTGGTCAGATGGTCAGAGATGCCCTCAAATGAATTGGTTTGTCGGGCTCACTGACTGGATGGATCACATGTCATCAGATCCCCAGCAACCTCTGATCATCAGATATGCCACCAAATGAATCGGTTGGTCGGGCTCACTGACTGGATGGATCACATGTCATCAGATCCCGAGCAACCTCTGCTGGTCAGATATGCCACCAAATGAATCGGTTGGTCGGGCTCACTGACTGGATGGATCACATGTCATCAGATCCCCAGCAACCTCTGATCATCAGATATGCCACCAAATGAATCGGTTGGTCAGGCTCACTGACTGGATAGATCACATGTCATCAGATCCCCAGCAACCTCTGCTGGTCAGATATGCCCTCAAATGAATCTGTTCATCGTGTTGACTGACTGGGTGGATCACATGTCATCAGATCCCCAGCAACCCCTGCTGGTCAGATATGCCCTCAAATGAATCTGTTCATCGTGTTGACTGACTGGGTGGATCACATGTCATCAGATCCCCGGCAACCTCTGATCGTCAGATATGCCACCAAATGAATCGTTTCGTCAGGCTCACTGACTCGATGGATCACATGATTCCCACAATAGCAATCACTGGATTGTTTGGTCCAGAATAATGTCCGGTAGCAGGAATGTAGCTCAAAGGTTCTTTTAGACAACAAACAAACAGAGAAACAAAACAAACAAACACACAAAGAACCTATCCCTATGAAAAATGAGTAATATCTCCTCTTTATTCCAGTGGGAAGATGCTGAGTGGCAGCCACTTCCTCCAGACGATCCTCCACATGGTGCAAGTGTTTGTAAGCTACTGTCTCATGCTTGTCTTCATGACGTACAACGTTTGGCTGGGGCTTGCCGTCATTCTTGGAGCGGGGGCTGGATATTTCTTCTTCGGCTGGAAAAGAGCAGTTGTTGTGGACATTAATGAACATTGTCATTAAAACTTAAACACCAAGTAGAGTATTCCAGAACTTAATTTTGTATATTTTGTCAAAAAACCCAAACTTATACATCTTTGTGATAAAATCGAAAGCTTGTATCAAAACTGAATACAAGAGAGTTGCAAGAGTTGTACACGTTGTACTAATGTGATTAGGTATTTTAAGTGTGTATCTTCCAAGGAACTGTCTATTTGGGCAACATTATATTGTAATGATGTTCAGATGTTTTTGGAAGGGTTTGCCTGGTTGGTTTGTAGTCAGATTCAGTTTCATATATTTTGTAAGTTTATAGAGATTTAATTTTGATAATTGTCTCACATAATGCTGTTAAATTCTGAACAAGAACACTACATTTTCTTAAATGGTACTTTAGTAGTAACAAGTGGGATAAAGGCATGAAACAATACTCCCGCAATGTTTGAATTGGAACAGTTGCAAAAAATGTATGTACAAAATCAAATTTTGATATTAAAACATCAGGGTTTTGTCTTTTTTCATAAAAAACAGGAGAACGACTCTAAATATTAAAACTTTAAGACCACACACACACACACATACACGCAATACAATCTATTTTTTGGACATTACACATTCAGTTGTTCTTTTAACATGAAGGTCCTTGACGAAAGTCTTCGAAGCAATGATGTCATTTATTGTATTGTATGTAATATATGTGAATGAACTAATGATCTGTCAACTCAAATGTGGCGTTTTATAACAAACAAGCAAACGTGTGACTTGTGTCTTTCAGGGGTTTCTACCAAACAGAACAGGATATGACATAACCCATAGATTAATGCAATTGACCCAGTTGTCAAAATTACATCCCTTGAAATTACCTAAATTTCATCTGTATGTGCATACACAATGCCATGTAGAAAGTGGTCAAATGTAACACATTATATTTGGGATTACACTTACAGAAACTTACGGGCGACGTTGGCCAAGTGCTTAAAGCGTTCGCTCGTAACACCGAAGACCCGGGTTTGATTCCCCACATGGGTACGAAGCCCATTTATGGTGTCCCCCGCCATGATATTGCTGGAATATTGCTTAAAGCGGCTTAAAACAATACTCACTCACGACAGAAGGTTACATCTGTGTGACTGTGGGTTTAAATCCCAGTTTCAGAGTATTAGGTTTCTTGGTTTATACCACCCACTGGTTTCACCCAGTTGGTAAAGGTGTGAGACCTGCGTTACTCTGTACCGGTTGACCCGGGTTCGATTCCCAACAGGGGCACAATGTGTGAAGCCCGTTTCTGGTTTCCCCCGCGGTGATATTGCTGGAAAGTGGCGTAAAACTAAACTCACTCACTCATCAATCTAAACACATACAGTTGCTGCCATAGCAACCGTTTTGTACCGGTTGTTCATAATAAGGACCAGTAATGATATTTATGGTATCTCAAATAGCACAATATATTCACCAACTGCTTTTGAATACTTTAAGAGTGTACATTGAAAATTTTGTTGTTGTGATAGAAATGTTAACCTATATATATATATGTATATAAATGCAAGGTTGTTTGAGCAATGTATGAATCTGCTGTAAGGGAACAACTGTTTGATTTTTATGGGCAAGATTCAAAAGGATACAGTTTCTTTCAATATTTATATTTATAAATATTATTCAAGCAACTATTTTAGTTTTAAAATTAATAGAGCATGACATTCAAAAAGAAATATGCTGATCTCAAATCAAATCCCTCTCCTACCACATCCCCTCGATAAAAATGAAATAGTTGGTCCCTGATGAAAATGAAATACAGGCAAATCCCGATGAGTCGAATGCCGGTGTGTCGAATATTATGCATAACTCGAAGTAGCTGTCGGTCCCGATCATTCCCTGTTATAGTTGTCATCATTTGAATACCGGTTACACGAATTCGTCTCATAAATACACACGATGACTCGAGAAGGAAATTTGGTCCCATGAGATTCAAACAACTGCAATCTTGTATACATAAGCCCAAGTCAGTCAATGAGAAGTTGATTGGTGTAGCAAACTGATCCAATTAACAAACCAGCGCGGCTCACACCTTTCCGCCATTGACGGTTGAGTTCAAAAGGCAGATTAGTGATTTTACGGAAATGACTGTCTGTGCTAATCAGACTGGAACTGATAAGGTGCCCCTATTAGTGATATGGAAATCATTAGATAAACAAATGCTTAGGCGGAGGAATTAGGACTGGATCATCTTTTTTCTACCCTCATGGACATACCTATGTCTCGAATACATCGATAAGTCGAATTTATTACTTGGTCCCCAGTGATTCGACTCATCGGGATTTGACTGTAGTTGGTCCCTGATGAAAATTAATACATTTTGACCATACATAATATTCAGAAACCATGGAAAGCAGGTTACTGACAACTCCCTACTGTGTGATGTGGCCTACAACAATGTGTTGAGTTTAACTCACAACTGACTGTTGTTTTCAGATAAATATGCCTGTCACAACTCCAAATACGATTCACCCAGCTGAAATGTCTTTTTTGCCTGTTTGAATTTGTATTTTTATTCAGCTATCATGTTATTTTTTCAGTCAGACAACATGAAAGAATTTGGACATTTTTCTGTTAGTTTCAATCTTAAACCAATCCGATTAAACAAATAAACAAACGTACCTCTGGGGAACAGGAAGTCAGTCATAAAATATTTCCCTTTTCTGTGATGTCATTCCCAAAGACATACATAAAATATATTTGGGGTTGAAGGAACTTTTCAGTGTTCTTACAATGGCCAGTCACACTGGTGGGAGCAGTAATACTGGAGGGTGCGCCACCTGCTGGGATGAAGCTTACCATGGGAGGTAACTCCAGCTATATATAGGGAGAGAACTCTAGACATTCAGTAATTGCAGATGAGAAGGTTTTAAATGAGTAACATCAGACTGACACTAATAAACATCATAATAAACATGATAATACATGTATAATAAAATACCTGTAACCAGAGAATATGTAACCTTAGTCAAGGTAAACCTGTCATAATAATCCTCAGTATAATCATAAATTTAGTTCAACATAATTCTTGGTGTAGTTAAACTTCTGTTCATTTTTTATGAATCACAGAACTAACATGAAAAGACAACGACAATTAAATAACTCCATGTATATATGTGTACACATTGTGCTAGGTGACTTCTTATTTAAGCTAGAGTAGTGATGTATAGGAGCGCACAACTTGCTTCAAAAGATTAACACTTGTAGTGTACATGTGTCAGTGTGTTTCCATAGCATATTATGAGCATTGATATATTTTGTAGGCCATAATATTACGTAGTTCTAGTAGATCGAAACTTTACAACCCAAGACATTATTTTCTGGAAAAGTATTAAAAGGAAAAACCTAAGGTTCAATTCATCATTCTCATTTAGTTCATTATATGGTACCATATTTCTTGTATCCCTTGTGGAGAAAGTGTTAAAATATTGCTTGGAAAACAGGGTTTGGGCGGTTGGGGTAGCCAAGTGGTTAAAGTGTTTGTTGTTACGACCCAGGATTAATCACGAGTACAATGTGTGAAGCCCTTTTCTTGTTTCCCCTACCATGATATTGCTTAAATATTGTAAAAAGCTGCATAAAACCATTTTCCTTCTAAATGAAATGTGATCACATGACAATCTGTTATGGCCAAAACCCAACTGCATAAATGCTCATGTCAATCACTGGATTGTCTGGTTCACATGCGATTATGTACAGACTGCTGTATAGCGTGAATAGTGCTTCCAGCTTTCATTCACAAATTCTGTAGGACTAAATTGTATAATCTCTATCAAGTCTCACTATATTGAATAATTTACAAAATAAGTGCATTATTCAATCTTGGTTGTTTATATATATATATTACAAATGAATAGAGACTAACAAGTTGAATAATAAAGGAAATATAATCGATTAAAACAGAAAATTTAGACCTTTTTAGAAACAGCAAGTTTTTTCTGCAGAATAGTGTTAGGTTTTATGCTTGAAGGGTGGTGGGGTAGCCTAGTGGATAAGGTGTATGTTTTCATGCAGCAGACCAGGGTTTGATTCCAAGTGCATAGAGATTGTATAAAAATTCCAGTGCAGCATATAACAATAGTCACACTCCTTCCTTTCTTTGTCAGAATCGGGCACAAATATTAATGCAAGTCACTATGAAGTCATGAATATATTTGCATAAAATTGTGTTCATAATATAGTCTTTCATGTTGATGTTTTTTTCTGATGTAACATTTATATTTTAACCAATTTCTGTTAATCGTGTGAATCAATTTTTCTTTGAAATGGCACATGGAGTCAACCAAAGGATATTGATTTTATGAAACAAAATAGTTTTGTGCATAAGGTAAATTTTTTATGTTTTGCATTAGATAAGTTTTAAGACATTTCTGTAAAGCGCACAGCCACGTTTTAGTTTTACGGTTTCATCAGTTCATGTGTACAGGGCTGTAGGGTAGCCAAGTGATTATTGCGTTCGCTGGTCACACTCAAGGCCTGGGTTGGAACCCATTCATTGCGGAAATATTGCCGAAAGGCTGTATAAATACCAACTTGATCACGCAGTAAATTCGGAATAAAGTCATCTTAAAATTTTGTTTCCAGTACAATCTAGAAAAGATACAGAGTTGGTGTAAATGATTTGCTAAAGTACAGAACTTGCTTGTGAAAAGAGCAAATTATTATCCACAAGAACATACCGGACAATTTTCGTTTATCTTTAGTTTAGCTGGTTTCTTTCAATTTCGCACATCATGTGGTCACCAAAAGGGTCCAAACTGTCCTTTATGGATCTGCTTTAGTGAAGACATCTTAAGATAGTTGAAATATTGTTTATGCATATGTGTCCATGTGAAAACTTCAGCTTCACATTTAATTTTTCTTGAGAAGAAAAGTATGAAAATATTTGTCAAATGTAGCAATGTATATACAATGTATTTTGTTTCTTTACAAAATTATAGGTAATGTTTTTCAAACTCTGGGGAGAATTCTGGACTTCTATGCTAAGATTACACAATGCCATTCTATGCTAAGCCTTCATCTTTATATTTTGTTGGTTTCTTGGCATTTTGTGAAAAATTATGTCAGAGGACATTCTGTCTACTTTTCAGATACTGGGTGGTGGAGTAGCCTAGAGGCTAGGCATTAGCTCACTCTGAAGCCCTTGTTTGATGTTTGACATGGGTACAATGTGTGAAGCCTTATCTTGCAGTTGCTGTAATATTGGGATAAGTGCCATGACCACTCTCACTCAGTGAGAAAAGAAGAAACGACAGGGAGAGTGAGCAAGTCTTTTGGACAATAAAATATGTTTAAGCCATCACTCAGTCAGTTTAAGGAATGCCATTGTTTCATGAAGGATAATGTCGACCTACAGACCATATTGATGTCATTTGGGAGGTTTTCTGCAGGTTCTAAAGATATTTTATGTTCGATGTAAAATAATTTGTTTATGGAAGTCATGACATAATATGTATTCATGTTGATAATTCATACAATGTGATTATGAGTGAATGGTAATCAAATCAAAGATATTTTCAATAAAAGAAATATTTATCTATTACTGTGCTTTTGTTTTACATTCTCAAACAGACAGTGAAACTGGTCCTCGACCAAACTGAATACACCAGTGAAGATCACCCATGCAAAGCGTTGTACGAGGCGACTAACGGGATAGGGTGGTCAGGCTCGCTGACTTGGTTGACAATCAGACATGTTATCGTATGCCAATTGCGTCGACCGATGCTCATGCTGTTGATCACAAGATTGTCTGGTCCAGACTTGATTATTTACTGACTGCTGTCATATAGCTGGAATATTGCAGAGTGCGATGGTAAACAACCAACAAAACTTTGATGGTGTGGACATATTTAATGTGAAGTACAGTTGGATGAACAATATTTTACCCAAAAAGATTTTTAAATAACAAAGTAGTCATTTCATAAAAAAATGTACTAATTCATGGCCAGCACAAACATGCACAAAAACATTTCAATGACACAACAAAGCTGGGCCCTGTTCCTCAAAGCGATCGTAACGCTACGGCAGTCACGTATGTCTATGATAAAGAATGTTCTTACACACCCGTGGGTGAGAAACCCATGTGAGAAAACTGGTATCACACAT